CGTTTCCCGAATTACGGAACACGCCGTGGCTCACGTTAGCATTCAGAAGAATGCGACCCGTCGCAGGACGGGCACTCTGGAAATATCCACGAATGACGGTGTTGAAGTCAGGGAAGCCCAATGAATTGACCTCGGAGCTGATGTTCAAAGGGAAATACCTGCTGCTGCCCAGAGAACCGACCTGATCGCTAGATCGGGCTTGGAACCCAGTAATGATGCTAATGGCATCGATCTCATTTGCGAACCTAGGGAACTTGGTATCGCCCGTCGGGTTCTGCATTGACCGTATGTACGTCCTGAGGGCATCCATGTTGAGGTCGGGCGCGGGATCAAATTTGACCTCGTACGTATCGTCCTTGCCCTCCTCGGTATATGAAACACTAACTATCCCGTCCTCTGGTAATGGAAGTGGCGCGGTAGAAATGACCTGCGCCTTGAATTCCGTGGCACAGGGGATTCCATTGGAGATCTGATCTAGGGCCGATTTGATGACCGCCCGGAGCTTCATGCCTTTGGCTTCCTTTTGGTCTTTCCCGTCTTTCCCGCCTTTCCCACCCTTCTTTCCTTTCTTGGGGGTTTGTGCCGTGTCCGTGTCCTTGTCCTTCTTTTTCAAAGTCGCCTTGAGCGAGTATTTATACAGTGAAGGGGTTTTCACACCCAATGCGAAATAGTTGGCCCATAGGGTCACCTCCGTGCCCCTATTACCAAACGCCGGCCGACAAGGCAAACGCTCGGAAGTGGAGGCTTTTGACCCCTTGCCAGATGAGATTTTGAGGGCCGACATTTTGCTTGCCATGCCCAAGTCGCTGAGGATCTTATCCTCTAATTGGGTAATAGCCGGGTCCGGTCGAGGTGCAGCATTCGGCCTGTAGTTCTGTTAGCATTGGGTTATTGAGTACGTGTATCAAAGCTTACCTGAACACCTCATCCTCGCCTGCGAACTTTGGTCCACCGAAACCACCGCGGCCACCACCTCCACCCCGTCCGCCACGGAAGTCTCCTCTACCTCTACCTCCGCCTCCACCTCCACGATAGTCACCGCCACCTCGTCCGCCGCCACGATAATCACCACCACCGCGGCCGCCGCGGAAGTCACCTCCCGGACCTATTCCAGAAAACGTAGCACTACCACCACGATCGCCGCCACCGCGTCCTCCGCGACCGCCCCGTCCTCCACCGCGGTCACCACCACGACCTCTACCTCTGCCTCGGTCCGCCATAGTAGACTCTAGACAAGAAACGAGGTATGAAATTTGTGCCTAATTAGGTACCTAAGCTCGAGAGAGTTGGGGGCGTTTGGGCAGTTCGTAGTGTTCGAGCGTCACGTCTTGATAGATAGTAATTGTTGGAGTGATAAATATCAATGGCGACTATGAATGTAGTTGAAAGAGATATCCGCCTGGATACTATGTGGCTTTCAGATAGATAGTTGTCTCTAGCCACAAATGAGCGCCGGCTCAGTAGGTGACAAGATGGATCTGCGGGGGACAACAACTATGAGGAGTTGACCATGATGGTTCGACCATGAATGAATAGGCGAGGAAGTACGGATAGACTGACAGGGTGTCTGGATTAGAATATATATATTTATGTGTTGGTTCTGTAGGTGGGTAGGAGGTAGACAAGGGTCTCCCAAGCCGGTCAGACCAGGATCAGAGCATCGCTTGTAGCTCTATTGGGGAAATAACAAAGGAATTCGATTATGAAATCTGATCGATGGTGGGTATTTGGGTACAAGGGACAGAAACGACAGCCTGAAGTAAGAACCCCAGGGCTACTGCATGGAAGCGTTCATCCCGTAGGTCGGTCACATCAATGATAATGGGATTGGCAGGCCGTGATGGTGTGGGGGCGAAACCTACAGACGAGCTCTTCCACCTAGGTCTTTTATCGTTGCAGATACTGCTGTAGGGAGATAGCCAAAGCAAAACAACCCAGGCACTCGAACGGAAGACCCAAAGGAGAAAGAATTCAGCATGAGTTGAGGGGTGGGAGCATCTTAGATGGAAAAGAATATGACTAGTCGAGACATGAGATTCCCCCCACGAAAGAGTATACTAGGTATGTACATGTAGGTAGTGAATTGGATCAAAGACGACAAAGTCGAAGAAACTAAAGAGAAATACAGCTTGGGATAGGACAAAATGTGAGGTCCACTTGACAGCAAGACGGGCCCCATATTCGAGATATGTTGGTACTTCCACGGCACTTACAGCCATGTACGTACCTACATACATATATGTAGTCCTACATCCATGTCACCACCCGCGAACTACGTGCGGTTATAGTTTCCGTTTCCCAGCAGCCAATCTCTCATTCGATTGAAGCGGAAGTCCTACCATATTTGTATTCATATTTGCTTTTCTTTTCCCTTTCTTTCTTCTATCAAGCCCCCCCCAGCGGTGTACGGCTATGTCACGACTACATAATCCAAATTTCCACCATCAATCGATATCCAACCCTGGTCGGGCAGCTAAACTGTTTAAGGCCTGATTTGGCGTTTGAGACCCGCGCACATGGGTCCGGTTCCTAGCCTATCCCCTGTCTCAGCCGATGCCCCGCCTTTCCCTGCTCTTTATGGCTTTCCTCCGCTTCAGCCGTATCCCGCAACTGGAAGACGTTCCTGTATAGAAAATGCATAGATACCTAGATCATATATATGAAGTGTAGTGGATTATTGGATCTTCAATGTCTCTTGAGCTGCTACGTATACCGACATAACCAAAAAGGTAGAGTATACATTAATGAAAGCAGAAGATGAGAAGCAACCGCTTGTTCTCCTATCCTACCAACTTTTAACCGCCCGCCGAACTCTGCTTGCTTTTTCCGAACAAGGATTAACCTACGGTCTGGAGCTGGTCACTAAGATCCTATCACCACAGCCTCTAATTGACAACTTGACTACGTAATAGGGTAACCCCAAGTTCTTGGTGCAGGCATCAAGGCAGCGCGTTGATAATTGACACCAGACCGGGAAACGAAGTACTCGCCTTGTACAGCTTATCAGTGACGAATTGAGTCCGAAAATGACATGTCTCTTTTTGACAACGAAACTTGTCAGCTCACTTCCGTTGAAGACAGCCAAACACATCAACAGGCCAACCAACTTATGAGTCACTTTGGCTGGCCTTCAAACAGGATCGTGTTCAATCCCTCATCCAATAATGCTTATGGTCCTACCCTTGATATATTAATTGTATATAATCGAAAGCGACGGTCTGAGTCACTTATCCCCGTATTCCTTTACCCTCAATGTCTTTCTGCAACGGCAGAGTCAAAGAACCAAGCGTCCGGTCAGTTAGAAGTAGGGATTTACAAGCTGGGTTGTCCTTTGTACACCACGCGGAAACCTCGCATATTACAGTTGCTACGCAGTACGTCCCGCACCTCAGTAGCGACTTCGTTATCTTAACAAACGAATGTGCAATACCCAGGGTTGTTTATTACGTAGTCGATAACAAACGGACTTCAGCCTCATCCATCCATTAATTGGTTCCATGTTAGTCTGGCCATCCGCATGCATACATACTGCAAGCCAAAGTATTCCCCCGCCACCCCATTTTTGCAGGTTGCCGACGTGCAGTCGGTACCTGCCTACATACACTGATCATCTGAGGCCGCGTCTGACAGCATGTCAATCAACAGAGACTCAAGCAGGCTACGGACACGTAAACCCATTGAGCTCAAGGCGTCTTTGATCTTCCCAAAATAAAACCGGTAAGCAAGGATCCAGAATCTCATATCCTTGATAAAATAGACGTGGGGAATTGTCCGATGGGAGCTTGAAGGTTTCATAGGAGTCAATCCCAGCCAAACCCCACGGGGACCCATGGATATGGCGTATTCCCGGACCGTCCCGCTACCGGTGCGATTTTCTCCACAGTCGCCAGGTTCTAAGCTCCCTAGCATACAAATGCAACAGAGATAGGGAGAGATGTGCTCGCCAGAAGTCAGCTTACACGTCAGCTCCTTTCGGTGTCAAAATAGTCCATAGAGAATCATTGTGATACAGCATCTACATGTGTCCTCCCCCGATTGAAACTTGGTCTGGTGAAACAGAATCTCTGCCTTGCTACCGCAAAGTCTTGCTACAAACGAAAGAATCCATCCGTCCTAGATCGTTGCAACCCGAGTGTGTGACTTATTCTAGGTGCACGACATAAAGAATGAGGGGTTCGACTATGAGGCATATTATACGAAGCTCAAACGAAGGCCATCCAGGGACTCAAATCTAGTTATACCACTAGGCGAAGAGTTGGCATCGCTTGATTTGAATTTGAGACTTCCATCTCTTGAAGGCATGTAGTTTTGAACAGAAGGTAAGCATATGTATGGATCAGAACACAATTGAACTAATTATTATCCTGCGTTACTCAAGACATCAGGTCTTGCAATAAACAAGAATTCGGTACGCTGTATGTCTACCTTGAAACACGCGGATTGGAGAGGTTAAAACGAGTTGTTGCAGTCGCTAAAGCCAAGCCGATCCGGTAAGTGAACCAACCTATCGTGGAAAATAGATGCCTAGCTGTATGCCTTGCCATTTTCTTGTTGTCTCCGGCGAGGGGCAATGCCTCCTATGCATACGTCGCCCGATTGTAGTGGTCTGGATATGGAAAGAGCCGCTGCGATTCGTTTCGATAAGCAGCAATACTTGGCGAAGTTCTTACTCGTGCGTTTAAGGTGGACTGGGCAGAAAAACATACGTTGATTCGGCAGGTACACACAAGTAACTTGAAAATACGTCAGCCGTGAATTTTAGGGCCACATTAAGCTCTCACCGGTTGAAAAGTATCGTGATGTAGATACCTGCTAGTCAATACATGGAATTGAAAGAGTATAAGCAAACCAAAAATTACCTATTTGCGATAGCACGCAATCGGATACCCCACCTAGATCAATTGGCCAATGGGAAGGAACAAGCACCGGCACAATCTCGGTGCTCCGAAACTGCCTTCCGCACCACATATATAAATGCCCGGTGCAAGCAGCCTATCAACGCCCGGTTAGCTCAATCGGTAGAGCGTGAGACTCTTAATCTCAAGGTTGCGGGTAAGTTCATACATCCAGAACAACGTCTCCGAGATTCGAACTAACATCCATGGCTAGGTTCGACCCCCGCATCGGGCTCAAATCCTGATGCGTCTGTTCAACAGACACCCCGAACTCAATTTTTTTGTGCTTTTTTATTTCTTACTTTTCGTCTTCGTGCAGACAGCCTGGTTAACCTTTTTGAGTTCTTTGGATTTGAACCATTAAAAATTAGAAAGCAAAACGAAGATGTAGGACTGCTAAAAAGTATGCCTTACCATAGATCGAGTTCGAGGTATATTACGATACGCACCAATCTTATTATAATTTTCATGCTTGCTTCGAGGAGACACCCGATCTCCCAAGTAGTGTTGTCATACATACTACTGCGGACCTTATAGTTTCAGAGGTTCTGTTCCTGGAAAGGCTTGACAGACGATCTCTGAGGTATAGTCGTGGGCAATCTTCAATCAGTATTCGATAAATAAGCGGAGGTTTGGTGAGAGAGATTTATATCTATTACTATTAAAATCGGCCCGTAGTTAGGTGGATTTCTCATGACCGGCTGTCGCAACTTCTAGTATCTCTTTTTCAAGTCCACCAACGTGAACAAATCCAATACCGGCGGTCTCTAACTTTTGCTTGCTAGAGTTGATACTGACGAACTTTTCTGGCTCGTAAACCCCCACATAGACCGTCTTGATCTTGTTTCCTATAGCCAATATCCTATCCACACATGGTAGGTTTCCACTGAGCCTTCGGGAACACGGCTCAACTGTGGTGTAGAGTACTATGCCATCTGGGAGCACTTCACCTAGGCGGCTTATCGGAACACCGTGTTTCTCCGCGAGCTTCTCAAAGCAGCATTGTTCGGCATGGGTGTTTCCCGGAAGCTCCAGAGTGTAGCCAGTCGCTAATATCTCATTTGTAGCTGCGTCAACCACGACAGCTCCGACTCGGTAATTAGTGGGCTTGGGTGGTGATTTAGTGGCCGAAGAAAGCGCGAGTTTCATATACGACTGATGATCTCCTGCCTCTATCCTCTCTGCCTGCTGAGAAGTATTTTCTGGCATTTTCCCATAGAAATTCAGACGCAGGTGAAAAATGGAATTCGCAAAAGTACATTCATTCGGTGGGTTATTGTAGATCGTTGATGCTTTCGCACCCCGCCAGAGCAATTAATTGGCGTGCCTTATCGATAAGCGCGTAGACCGGAGACGCGTGTAACGCGATCTCCGTCATTCATCAAACATCTCCAGCAAGCTCCTCAGCGTTATACTACCTACATCCTATACCACCCACTTTACTCTGCTCATCATGGACAATTCGGACGACCTTATGGCGGGTGAGCCGCCTACTATAGACCCGTACGAGGTCCTTGGTCTAGAGCGCACGGCAAATGAGGGCCAAATTAAATCGGCCTATCGCAAGCTTGCTCTGAAAAACCACCCAGGTAAGCTCTCCTCTTACTGACACATTTGACTTTTGTCGCATTCTCACATGTGATTTCGTTATAGACAAGGTCTCCGAGGACAAGAAGAAGGAAGCCCATGAGACCTTTCAGTCTATAGCATTCGCATATGCCGTACTCTCCGACCCGGCAAGGCGCAAACGCTACGATGAGACAGGCTCGACCTCGGAATCCATCGTCGACTCGGACGGCTTCAGCTGGTCAGATTTCTACCGAGAGCAGTTCCGCGACGCAGTTAATTCTGATGCAATTGAGAAGTTTGCCAAGCAGTACAAGGGTTCCGACGAAGAGAAGGACGACATTCTTATTGCCTACGAAGAACACAAGGGCAATATGGATAAGATTTACGAGTCGGTCATGCTCAGCGACGTGCTAGAAGACGACGAACGATTCCGCGCAATTATCGACGAAGCGATTGCCAATGAGGATGTCCCCGCGTTCAAGGCCTACACGAAGGAGAGCAAAAAGTCCAAGGAGGCTCGCATCAAGGCTGCCAAACAGGAGAGTACTGAGGCCGAGGAGTATGCCAAGGAATTAGGAGTACACGACAAGTTGTTCGGCAACAAGAACAAGAAAGATGGCAAGGGCAAGAGCAAGAAAGGATCGTCTGAGGATGACCTAGCAGCACTCATTCGTAGTAACCAGAAGAGTCGAAGTAACTTCCTTGATAATCTGGCGGCTAAGTACGGCGCAACATCGAGCCCCAAGAAGGGGAAGAAGCGCGCAACTCCGGAAGAAGAGCCCTCGGAGGAAGCATTCCAAGCCGCTGCTGCAAGGCTTAAGAGAGGCAAGAAGAAGTAAGCTTAGGGGGTATACCCTTTTTGGTCAAATTCAGTGATCTTTCACGGCGTCTACGGTATCATGGCGGAAAGGGAGTTCATACGGATAGGTTTACGTTGGGTTGAAGTCTAGTCACGCCGTTTATTAATTGCTAGCATCAACGATATAAATATTTACACGTACATCTTGCCAATAAAAGTAGCTGGTAGGTCAGACTGTTGTGCTTGCATGTGATGAGGCTTCAAGGCAGCTGGGTGGTACTTGCTAAGGTCACCTACCTATTAAAGTGGGGCAGATACCAAGCTTATGATGTAGCTGAAAGCTTTCCACGTCCTGTCGCGTCATCTGTGATCAGGTCTCAACTTCAACATTTCGAGACAACGTGCCGGAATCGCTGGTCTTGCTTTTTAGCAACCCACTCCGCTCCCAAGATGCGATGACAAGTGCGGAACCACTCGTGTACTATCCTGCCTATTGTTTCTACTTGTCCCCGACCATAAACCGATGGTGCCCGCTGCGCGCTACCGACATCCATGGTCTTGAATGTCGACCTGGATTTGAAGGTACTTTCCTAACTAACATCCGCCTCTGGGTATTATTTGAAGCTTACAATGTATAAGCCGACGATGTATTCTTCTCCTTGAACCACCCCATTCGCTGGGTTCGAATCGTCGGTGTCGTGGTTGCGATCGACGAGTTTTATGGCCATCGGGTCTATACGGTTGACGATAGTACCGGCCGATGCATAGAATGTTCCAAGGATATCCCAAAGCCGATCGATAGCGGCCAGCAAGATGGCGCAGGCAGCGAACCGACCAAGGACACTCCCACTCCCGCTCCCGAACCGGATCCACTTTCGGATATCGACGTTGGCATGACGGTCGAGGTCAAAGGCAGCACCAAGCTCTTCAGGGGCCAGAAGCAAATCAAGATTCAGAAACTGCAGAGAATCAGGTCTACGAATCAGGAGGTCCAGTTCTGGAACAAGATTCGTGACTTTCGGGAAGAAGTCCTTGGTCGCCCCTGGGTACTGGAGAAGAAGGAGATACGCCGGTGCAAGAAGCAGCACATGGCTGATGTGGATGCTGAAGAGAAGAAGAGGAAGAAAAGGAAAGAGAATGGATATACCCTTGAGAAGACCATCCCAAGTAGAGAGCAAATGACCAAGGACGGCGATACGAAAAACAAGCTTGCAAAGCAACAAGCTATGATTAAGTCGGGAGCTAGACAGTCGTACTCCGAGGGTCAGTATGATGCATTGGGACTATAAATATATATGCACCATACTTCTTGGCGCTTTGTTTGATATCGTGATCGAGTCTAACATTTTAAACTTATCGCTGTTGTGTGCGTTTGAAGACTTAGTGGTTAGGATGACACCTGACTAGGATTGTTATAGCTATTACTATAATTCCCAACTTTCCCACTCCAATATGAACGCCAGAGGGCTCATATTTTACAATCGAATACTATTTCTAAGTAGCTATTCAAGAACTTCAACTATCTCGGGATATCAACAATATAGCAGTAGGCATTCGGTGAAGTACAACTGTTGGAGTGGGGCTACTGAATGAGACAGCTCCTTACATCAGCCGGGTTCCCCGTTAAAAAGCAATTTCCAAAGTCAAGTTTTGTATAAACACGTTCTTTCCAGCTCATAGAACCCCTCTTGAAACATGTAGGCGAGCTGTTAAGGCAGCTGCGAAGTTGTTCTCGATGATTTCCATCCCGAGTATTTGAGACTCAGCTGAACCCCAATGTTGCTTTGCTGTCTGACGCACCCATCATAATATCCTCTCGCTACTCTTCCTCTTTACCGATATATCCTGAACCTAGAACCACGACCTGAGACCGAGCAGCATTTCTTTGCAGCTACGAATATAGTATTCGCGTATTAAATAACCCTCGGTTTATCTCGTCCTACGGTCACGGCATTTCCGCAGACCTCAGTCCTCATTCCAGTGACAGCTTCTAGACTCCTCCGTTTGCTCCAACTCGTCACGTAGGTAGGACCATTCGCCCCCTATTCAAGACAACGCATTCCCCATGCCATAAGCTCCACACGTCATGATGCTGGAGGCCCTGACTCAGCCGTCGCCCGGCACACCGATGCCATTCTTTATGATCTATATTCGAGTTACCCATCATGTCATTAAAGGACGTGTACACCTCACCCGTCGCCTCTGCATGGGCGTGGATGTTAGACTTGATATCTAAGGCTTGAACCACCCTACTATTTCTATACATTTTAGATCCAATGATGTCTAGCGACCTATAACGAAATCACGATATCACGATACTTGGAACATCGCAAGTTGAGCGCCGGCTGCTTTGGCCTATATGATAAGCCCTCATAATAAGATCACCAGGAACACACCCCTTCCTATATCCATTCACCTCCAGAAACACAATGCGGTCGTCTTGGATACTGACATTGCTTCAGGTCTACCCCAGCCTAGCGGCCCGACTTGGGCCTTCGAATGGTGAGATCAGACGACATAGCCAAGACAGAATCTCTGAACGACGTTCTTTCCGAGAGAGTTATTCTCCCCTCCCGGCAGGCCAGGATCCTTACCGTGAAGGTTACCAACCTGTCTCAACTATCGACAGTGCTGCAACTTCAGTAGATCTACAGGTCCCCCCTACAGCATCTGTGTTTTGGCCAAATACGACAACCGCAGCTTCTACAGTAGAAACACCAAGTCCTACTCCCGATCTTGTGCCGTCTGGACCGGAAACGAATCAGTCGAACACAACCATGGCTCCTTCAAACATCTTTGGGACACCGATTGCGACCAGTCACCCTTCGAAGTCTTTTGTAGTCCAAAAGGATCATCCCGTACCTCGG